CTTCTGGTATGGCCTTGAATTCCTTCAGCGAGTTCTCCTACCGTTTCAGTCATTTTAAAACGCTTATCACGAAGCGGTAATTTGAGTTTTGGAAAGAGAAAAAAGTCACACGATGCCATATCTGGCGAGTACGGAATGATGTTAGTTGAGTGTTTGGCCGAATAGTCATGTACGAAAAGCGATGTGTGCGATGATGCATTATTGCAATGCAAAATCCATAAGTTGCCTTCGGTCAAAATGATATGGATAGAGTCACTTGATATGTTAAGCCCGGCAGCAATCTCTCTTTCATTCGCTCGGAGATTTTTAAGCACTATTTCTTCAATCTTTTAACATTTTCGTCCGTATTTGATATAGATGGGCGACCAGAACGAGGCAGGAATCTTTGATGGCTGTACGATCCTTTTTGAACAATCTATATCACTCATATGCCTGCGTTTTTGAAATACAGTTATCCCCATATGCTTTTTGTAGTGCATTTTTAGCAGTTGTAGCATTTTCAACGCGTCGGCACAAGAAATTTCGTTGAAAACACAAAATTTAAGGAAGAATCTTTGTTCCACAATATTCGACATCGTAAAAATCGCAGATGATACCTGAAGTCGACTGACATAAACAGCTGTCACGAACAAACTAACTGACAGACCGCGTTTTAATCCTCTATTAGTTAAATACAGAAGTTAGATATAGTGGTACCAACTTAATCGCAAGGGAATTTTGAAATATTATAAACGCGCGTCATTTAAATGAAGATAATTCCAGGTATTTTTTGAGCAGAAGGTATATGACAATATTTTTTGAAATTTTCCTGAGTGGAGTAAACACACGCTCCGTACGTTCAAGCTGCAAAATTTTCGTACCAGGCAAATATTTACGCTAACCAACAGCTAGAAATGTTAATTTTGAAATTTTTCATCGTTCTCGTCACGTATTGAGCAGTGACCCAGTTTAGTTTTGCATTTTTATTTTCTAAAAATATGTGACGCCGCGCCAGAGATTTAATATCAATACAATATGGGACGTAAACTTTGCGGAAAAAATTAATGTTTTGCCGGCAAACATTCTCGATTATGCCACTCCCTCAATTTTCTATTCTAGCTACATCCCGTTTAGCCCTCCTTTATTCGCACTATTAACTTCTAACACATTGACTGCCTAGCATCGAGTATATTTCCCGCGGAGCCTACAAATTCGCGGGTCATCGCACTAACGTATAAGTTCACAAAAATTTGTTTGCTGTTTTTTGGTAGCTGTTTATAAAACAGATGCTCAATGGGAAACCTTCAAATTTTTTTGTCACTTTATTAATTTCTTCGGGAGATGGTCATTGTTATTGTAGACACTTAATTGCATAGAGTGTAGTCTCGTTTAGACTAGACTTCATAGACAAATGTTTAAAAAAGTACATAGAGACTCAAGACTGTTAAACAGCCAGAAAAAATGTCAAAAGAAAAAGACGGGAATTTAATGCCCTAGCTTCCTCGAAATGGCCCAGATTTGTTATTAATTTTTTTTTTCAAGAATACCCCAGAAAACTACTAAAATATATAACTTTTTATGTTTATATTATTATACATGTATATTTTTATGTATAGATTAATATATACATAATATATGTATGTATAATACATAATATATATGTAATACATAATATATATATGTATATATTATTATTATATATATATATATATATATAGGTTGCGTGAAAAGTTCGCGGAGCGGCATCTATAAGTAAACGGTAGAATTATAAATTGTAGTCGGTTATATAGAATCACTTTTCACATGAACCTAGGTTAGGTTTCATTTCCATCTGTCAATTCTTTCTGTGTTTACAAGCCAATTGATGTTGACGTGTCAGTATATTTGTTTGCAATGGAAAATTTGAAACAGCGTGCAGTGATTGAGTTCTTTGTTAAAAAAAGGTTTAAAGGCAATGGAAATTTCTTCCGAGATGGTAAATGTGTTAGGAGAATCTGCTCTTTCAAAAACAATGGTTTGTAAATGGCATTTGAGTTTCAACGTGGTCGTACAAGCATTGAAGATGATCCACGCAGTGGACGTTCAAAAAGCACATCAACACCAGAAATCATTGAGCAAATACATGTTACTGTTTCTGAAGATCCAAGTGTGATTACGCGTGAAATTGCTCATACTATAGGCATTTCAGATGAACGGGTACGGCATATTTTGCATAAAGAATTACAAATGTAAAAGGTGTTTGGAAAAGTGGTGTCGCATATGTTAACAATTCAACAAAAACTCGCTCGAAAGCAAATTTCTCAGCGTCATTTGGATCGTTTTAAGAAGAATAAAACCGATTTTGTGCGTCGTTTTAGAACTATGGATGAGACTTGGATCTATCACCATGATCCTAAATTGAAACAGGAACGTTTACAGTGGACTGAAGCTGGATGTTCAGCTGCAAAGCAAACAAAGCATGAAAGATCGGCAAAAACGGTTTTGGCATCAGTTTTTTTTTGGGATGCTAAAGGGATTTTGTTAATTGACTATCTGGAAAAAAGTAAAACAATTAACTCTGAATATTATTGTAACCTTTTGGATTAATTGGACGCAAAAATTCGTGAGAAAAGACCTGGTTTGCAGCACGAACAAATTATTTTTCACCAAGACAACGCACCTGCTCACACAAGTCTAGTCTTTTGTCAATGTCTAAATTCAATGAATTGAAATACAAATTGCTTGATCATCCACCGTATTCGCCAGATTTGGCACCCAGCGACTTCTATCTGTTCCGAAACCTGAAACAATTCCTCCGTGGAAAGCATTTTTTGTCGAATGAAGAAGCTATAGCAGCCGTAGAGGCATATTTCGCAGACCTCCCAGAAACACACTTTCGCGATGGAATACAATTATTGGAGAGCCATTGGGCCAAGCGTATTGAAGTTAATGGAGACTATATTGAAGAATAAAATCATTTTTAGAATTAGGTATTCTTTATTTCAGTTTCGCCCCGCGAACTTTTCACGCAACCTGTATATTATGTATATATTATATGCCCTTGTATAAGGTGTAATAGCTACATATTTTCGGTACATTATAGTATCTTGGTATCTTTCATCGAAAATAGGGCCTGTTTTTCGAAATTTTTTGCAGCTTGATAGTTGCGGTCGATTAAGTTACAACCAATATGTATACTGCGTTTATAGTCTATTCATACTTTTGCAGAAGCGATTTTTGTAGAAACATGGATGAAATACAGTATATAAAACTTTTAAATATATTTGTATCGTTCTTTCTAATCTCTAATATCTCTAATATCTATCGAACTTTCCAACATGAGAAAACAATTAAGAAATTATGCGAAACCAGGAAATATGTTGTATTATTCATCTCTTTAAGTACTACTCTTATTTATTCTGCTTTATTCCGTAATAATATTTATTCCTCAATTTTATTTTTTAAACATATTTTTTAATTCAATAAGGCTCGACTCCTGTCAATAAACGGTCGATAAACTATCACAACGATCACGGTGCAAAGTTAGTTGCATTTATCATAACTGGGAACACTGCAAATATCATTATCAACAAAGTCAACGAGTCACTTTTTCGGCAACTTCTGCATCATCATCCGAATAAGGACAAGCAACCCGTCATATTGATCTATATGTTACTGTTACACCCTGTACATAATTTAGTGTGTTGTTAGTATTAAATATTTGTTTTATTATTAAATAACTTTCCCGAATTATTTGTAAAGTTCTGCTAATTGCATGAATAAAACCGTCACCCATATTTGGGTGACGGAGCTTCTGTGGAAACTTTTACCTGCCATCCAAATATGAGTGACGTGACGGTCAACGTGTTAAAAGCTATCATCAGACATCACCCCCAACTGACTTTATTTTATGTTTATAACAAAGTACATAGGAGAATTGATATCTGTTTTATGATAATGTCATTATTGATAATGTGAATAAATACTCATACTCATAAAGCGTTATCATTAGCGTTACCGGTGATTATGTCTTTTAATAAGATCAAAAGAAATTTCGCATAGTGATAGGGTGAAATTTCACTCTCATAGTAGTCTTTAAACATAACGAATAAAAAAATAACAAATGTTCCTGAGCTCTCGCTCACATCTTTTTCTTTCGAACCAAGTGTGACTTGAATTCTCCTCCGTCCCAATTATGCGCTTCACACGCAGAAAACTATTCGATCGATATAACAGAATTTCAATTGTGATAACCGAAATCATCCGTTTTTCAGAAATCAACTGAAAATTAGGCAACACAAAAGAAATTCCATTAGGAGGTTTCTCTGTTGTCTTAGAGATATATTCGGTCACTGTATTTGAGTGACAGGTAAAAGTTTGCGCATCTGAATTGAACATTATCGTTGCCAAGGGTACAAGTTTCGTTCTTCACACGGATGAACAGAGCGTCCCTGTATACGCAAGTGGCGGGAAAACGCTTGCGCGGCCGAGTTGAAAATTGCATCATGGGCAGCGTCATTCAACTTCTTCAAGCTAATATTTTCGGTCGCGATAACTGAGATTTCGTTTCGCTTTATATATACGCTATAGTTCCACGCTTTCTATGGGAGTAGCCGAATATTCTGCCGTGGTACCATATTTTCGAGACGGAAAATTTTAGTTCCTTCGACCGCAAACAGATTTTTATGCGAATGGTTCTTCGATGCGCGAAACCGAATTTTCCGTTGCTGCAACATAACCTCACATGTATTATAGCAGAAAATTTCTGGTTGTCACTGCAAGGTATTTTTCTGCGTCCCACTTATCTCGCTATCGTTTACTCCAATGACTCTCCTTTCCTGTGCTCTTCTAATCAAATAATAATAAATATTACATGACTTTCAAGTTAACATCCGATGCAAGCTTGAGTCGAGCATCAGTGACACAAATCGAAATTTTTAAACATCGTTTACACATGAAACTCGCGCGCACGCGCACGAACGCGTGCGGCGGCGAAACGCAAGCTAGCACGTGTTCTGAGTGTTGTTATTTCTGTGTTTCAG